AATAATCTGGATTCATGGGAAAAAGGATGATGAGCTTCCAGACTCTCCTCTATCCGAGCCTGTTTGGAACCTGAAAAGCACCGTGAGTAATTCCCCACTCACTCACATAAGCGAGCTCTACCTGTGCCATGCATGGGGGCAAAACTGTGCACACTTGGGGGAGAACAGAGGTTTTTATTTCAACTACCCTGCTGACTTTTTGGTCTGGCATATTTTGTTCCTTAGGAGAAGTCTCTTCTGACACAACCTGTAAACCCTAAACCTTATCCCACGTGCTATGTGCGTGCACCTGTTTCCCTCCCTGGTTAGTGACCTCGGCAGGCTCAGCACAAAAGCGACAGATCCCGCTCCCAGGGTCGAGACAGGCAGCCCGGCCTGGTGAGAGCCTCTTGTTTGTGGGTCCTGCACTCGGCTCCGCCAGCTCCTGGGGGAAGCCATTGCCACCTGCTGGGGAAGGTCGCAGCTTCGTGTCACACTCCGAAGTAGGAATGTCCTGGACACCCCTGAGACATCATGTCACAGAAATGCTGAAAGCAGAGCAGTGGGGCAGGACGCACCAGGCAGGCGTCAGAGAAGGCGGAGACCAGTGTCGGTTTCAGACATAAAGCACTTCGGGGCGGAAAGCGTTCTTATGTGTGAACTCCTGCTCGCGAGAGCCGGTCCCGTGTGCTTCTTCCCAGCTCCAGATTGTGATTCCTGGCCGGTGGCTTGACACTGGCCCTGGTGAGAGTGTTTACACCAGAGACCCCAGCCGACGCCCCACCTCGAGAGCCGAGGGTTAGACACGGAGCAGCACCCCCACTGGATGAAGAGGGTCCGTATTTCATGACAAAAAGGGACAATCAAATGCAAGGCTAGAACACTCCTGAGCCTACCAGACGTCACAGCATCGCCTTAAAACACGTAAGAGAAAAAATGGCAGAATTCTAGGGAGAAATGGACACATCCCACTAGGAGAGAGGGCGTCCCACGCTGTTCCCGGAAACCGGGACTAAGCCAAGAGCCGTCAGGAAGGAAGGTCCCTGCCAGGGGCGTGTTCTGGGACACGCTCTCTGTGAGAGCCAGACTGAGCCCAGGCTGTCGGTCCCGGTGGGGGGGACCCGTGTGCGTGTCCGCTCCCTGGGCAGCCCCCGTCCTGCGGCCGCGTCCCAGCTCCGGGTCTCCGGGGTGTCGTACTCACATGGGACCACCAGGGGCGACACTTCCCGAGAAGGCTCAGCGTCCTGGAGGGTTGACTGCCTGCCTCGGCGTGACCAAGCCCCCCACCCACCGTGAGCGGCTCCCCACACCTAAGCACTCAGAGAACTTTCAGATCCAGGCCCAAGACATCTCTGCACAGGCTTCTCGCTCTCTGTTCACTGCAAGACCCACATTTCCTCGGTTGGGTTCTGGCTACGGGGTGCTCCGTGCCCCCCAGAGCGGGAGAGGAAGCTGTCTCTACCTGGGGCAATGCCAGGAGGTTTGGGTCAGGGCTTGAAAAAGCAAAACTCCGGGAGGCCTGCAGGGGGTGTGAAAGGGCAAAGTGGCAGGGGAGGGACAGTGACCAACTGGACAAAACAGGCCCATCTAAGTGCCTCTGGCCAGGTGTGGGCCCAGACCGGCCTGTGTGTCCCAGTTTTTCTAGAAGAGCTTGTAAACCTGGATTTTTAGAGGAAATCTCCAGCGTAACACATGGGAAGTTGTAAGCACGGCCTGAATCATGGGGTGGTTTGTGGAGGCCTCCTGCCCTCAGAGCAGCCAGTGTGAGAGCCTGGAGGGTTTGGCTGATGGGGTTGGGGGTCCGGGTGGTGGGATTGGGGGTCTCGTGCCCGTGGCCACCGTTTCCCCATCCTCGCCTCCCAACACCCTCGGCAGGAAGATTCTCCGAAGCTGCGTCCTGTCTCCCCGCGGGGCAGTCGTGCCTGAAGCTGCGGGTGCTGACCCCCGCCTGGGCCCGGCACGAGCTGAGCAGCGGGAGTGACCAGCTCCACCTCCCACGCCGGTGCTCGCACAGATAACTTGTGGAACCAGTCGCAGGGTGGAGTGGGGGCCCCAGGGCCCTGCATGAGGCTACCCACCCCTGCCATGAGTGTCCCAGGGGTCGAGGGACACTCGAGCCTCCATTCCTGGGGACACCTGCTTCCAGGTGGCCACAGGTCTGAGTGTGTGTGGAGGGGACAGGGGCCCCCTGCCCCTGGAGAGGGACCACTACTGAGCCCCGGATGATGAAACATCCGTCTTCATGAAAGCATGGGGGTAGTTGATATGTTTTTGAGGGTCTTTACTGGAGAAATAAAATCTTGGAAGTGTAATTCCAGTTGTCAGAGTCGTTCTGGAAACTTCCCTGCTCCCCGAGTTGTCTGGGTCTGCCCCCTCTTGGCTATGTTCGGTGGCGGTCAAATCTTTCCTCTGAGCGGACGCGTGTAAAATGCTCTGCTTGCTCCCCTCCCCCCGTAGGGCCCTCAGAGCACCTCTCAGAGGCCCCGGGGGCCAGGCCGGCCACTGCCTCCCCCTGGGTCCCACGTCAGCAAGTGCTGTCCTGTTGGTATTTACTGTCCCTCTTTTGCAGGACCCCGCACAGAGCTCCTCAGGGGACCCTCCTCCCCCAGCCCACCCCGCTGCTCCAGCCTGGATGTCGGTCCAGCCAGAGGGCAGCCTTCAGCCGCCTCCCTCTGTGCTGGAAGCCTGGCCAGCAGCGGGGGCGGGGGGGGGGGGTGCTGAGGCCTGTGGAGAGGGCCGCCCTGGGGAAGGAGGAGCCTGGCCCAGGTGCTTGCAGGCCCTGGGCAGGGACAGCCTGCCACTGTGGAGGTCCAGGGGCAGGAGGAGGGCTGCTGGACCAGAGGTAACCTCTCACCCTCCAGGCCACTGGGACTTCCCTTGGCTCCATGGTTTTCTTTAAAGTGCGCCGAAAGTGAAAGATAATGTACAATAAATAAATGACAAAACTTCCCTAAAACGGACACTGCAGGGGGTATAGTCCCTGTTTCCCAGATGGGGAGACCGAGGCTTGGCCACAGGAGACCCGCCCAAGCGCTGCTGCGGCAGGTGGGCAGCAGGACCCTGCCTCGGTGTCCCCTGCTGGAGCCCGTGCCCTTCAGTGCCCAGGGGAGACGAGATGGCCCATCCCCCTCCCAGGTCCGAGCAGGGGCCTGATCAATCCCATCTCCAGCAGCGCGGACCCGCAGCTGCCCGCCCTTCCAGCCACCGCCCCCGTCCAAAGTCCAGGGCAACTCTGCCGCTCGCCTGGGCTGGCACCAATCTGCACCAGCTGTTCCTCTTTGCGTGCAGGGTCAGGAGAGGTCTGGGCTGGCTCGGCCGCTGCCCTGGGGCTGTAGGGACCCCTGTGTCCCTTGCCCATGCCCCTCCTGTCGAGGGCTCTATCGGGGATGCAGCCATGCTCCTTTGTCACCCTCTCTGACCTGTCCTTCCCCTCATAGAGCGAGCGCAGCCTGGCCCCACGCTACTGGCCAGGACCCCCCTCTGCAGAGTGACCAGGCTGGTCTCTGTGCACTGAGCCTGTGCACGGTGCCAGGGAGGCCTCACGCTGCTGGGGGCAGCCTTCCTCAGGGGGTGAGTGACAGTCTCTGTCCACATGGCGGGGACTGAGAATTGTAGCAGCACCTGGCTAGGGCAGAGCCCGGCTACCTCCCCAAACATGCTGGAAGGAGGGGCAGCTTCCGGGGAGTGTCCAGTCCCAGCCAACCTCATGGCTAACCCCCCACCCCCCCACCCCCCCGAATCTGTCTTCTTCCTGAACCCAGAGCCCCTCAAGGGCCTTAGTTGTCTCTGGGTCCTCTAGCCGTGATTTGCATATAGTAGGTGCTCAGTAAATGTAGAGGACAGAGAAACTGGCAGCAAGACAGATAGTCGGACAGTTAAGAAATCGAAATAAAGAACACAAAAAAAGAACACGATTATTTTTCTCATCGGTATTAATTACAATGTGTTGCTCCTGGTTCCCCTCTATTAGTAGCCAACATTGCTCTGTTGCTAACCAAATTCTTTCTTTGACCGGTGGGAAGAGGAGGCCCACTTTTACACCAACGCCCGTCCTGACTCTCCACACACCCAGAGGAATAAGTAAGTCCTGCTTCTGGATCGCCTCTGGGCAGAGTAGACAGAAGGCCCTTGGCCCCCACCACTTGCTGTGTGACCGGAGGCAAGCTGGCGCCCTTTCTGGTCCCAGTGCTCCCCAGCAGTCAGATGGAGGCAGGCATTCCTGGCCTGGGGAGCAGGGCGCCCTGCAGTGGGCAGACCAGAGGCTGGGGACTGGTTGGGCGGGAGGCAGACAGCTGCGCTTCCCCGCTTGCCTCCGAGGGCAGTGAGCACCCCTGCGCCGGGAGGGAACAAGCTGCAGCTGGCCGGGCTGGCGCTCGCTGGGGCCCTGCATCCCCTCCCGAGGAGCCCGCTGGATACGCTGGGGCCTGGCACAAGCCTGTGGCTTACCCAGCCCAGGTCGGGGCACCGGGGGCACAGACAGGCAGAGGCAAGCAGGGGTGCGCGGGGGCACCGGCGGCGAACCTGCAACCCTGTTTTAGAGATAAGGGAGTGAGGTCACCCGCCCCACCACCCGGTCCACAGCCAGGCTCCGCGGCCCCGCTGGGCTGCTTCCCTGGCCAGGGAGAAGCCGGAGGCGGTGGGCGGTGCATCCCGCGGGGGCGGGGGGCGGTGACGGGGGCAGGGGGAGGGGGCGGTGACGGGGGCGGGGCCAGGGGCCGGCGGTTCCGGCCAGGCCGCCGCGGAGAAGGAAAGCGGGGAGGGCAGCCTGCAGCCCTGGGAGGGACACAGGGAGGCCTCTGGGGGCCCAGGGGAGCCGTGGCGGCTGGAGGTACGCCCCTTCGGGGGGAGCGGGGCCCGGTTCCTCCCCCGCGGCGGGCGGGACTTCTCTCTGCCTCTGGCTGCAGTGACCATCTGTCTGGGTGGGCACGAGCTCGGGTCCCCGTGTGCGTGGCGGGGGCCTGGCGCCACTCCCGCCCTCCTGCACCAGGCGAAGGCTGGGCCCGCTCTTCTCTCCTTCAGCCCCCCGCACCCCGCAGCCCTTGAGGAGGAGGACTCTGGCTCGGACTTCACAGCCCAGGTGAAGTTGTCGCTCAGGCCCCGACCCCGGCCCCTGCCCCCAGCCCCAGGCTGCCCTGCACCCTCACCGCTGGTGCCGCAGGGAACACGCTGCGGACCGGGCAGGAGAGAGGTGGAGGGGCGGGAGAGCAAGTCAATGTTGAAGCAGCTGCTTCTGGCGGGGCGGGGGTGGGGGGGCACCCCCTGCCGGCCCCCAGCTGACAGCCGGCCCGGTCAGGGTGCGCGGAGGGAGCAGGTGGCCACTTCCGGGGCCAGCGGCCCCAGCGAGATTGAAGGGAGGAAGGAGGCCGGGCCTGAGGCGGAGCAGGAGCGCGGGGCAGTGCGGGGGGTGGGGGGCGCGGGGGTCAGGTGCCCAGCCTTGACTGTGCCCGCGGCCACCTTACGCTGACTTTCCACAGGTAGGGCACCACTCTCGGGGGCTCCTGGAGCATTAGGGAACTTCGAAAACAAAAGGTAAGGACAGAGATAGGCCCAGGGGTGCGCCAACCTGTGCCCAGCGCACCTCTGTGGGCAGAAGGGCAGGTGGACTGTCAGACCGTGGGGCAAAGGGTGGCGGAGGGACCGAGATGCCCCGTCACCACCACACCTGCTCCGTGAAGCTTCATAGGTCAAGCTCTCTGCCCCTCCTCTGCCCTCACTCCCCTGGGAGGGGTCCCTGTTGGGTAGGGTATGGGCAGCCCTGACCGGCCTGGGCACTGGGCCCCTCACCCGCATCCCCACCTATGAGTCTGCAGCTCCCCCCACCTCCCCTGCCCCAAACCAGGCCCCAGCAGAGCCTGCAGACTTGGGCTGTGCATGGGGCCGGACTTGCTCCCCAGCTGGGCCACAGAGTGGCCCTGGGACCTCAGCTACCTTGAAGGGCCTTCCTGTACCTTGGTCTCCTGCCGTGTAAAATGGGGACAGCGTCACAGGGATGCTCATTAGGGCATCGTTGTTTTTTTTTTTTTTAAGATTTTATTTATTTATTTGGCAGACAGAGATCACAAGCAGGCAGAGAGGCAGGCAGAGAGAGAGGAGGAAGCAGGCTCCCCGCCGATCAGAGAGCCCGATTCGGGGCTCGATCCCAGGACCCTGAGATCATGACCTGAGCCAAAGGCAGAGGCTTAACCCACTGAGCCACCAGGCGCCCCTCATTAGGACATCTTTTGTGGGACACTCTTGCAAACAGAGGTCGACTCAGGTTAATTAGTGCATTAGTAACAGTCATTACTATGGATGCAGGTGAGTTCATGACTAAATCCCGCTCACGTGTCCTGCTGCCCCCAGAAGTGGGCCCAGGAGGCCCCTCGGAGTGTCCTTTCCTCCCCAGGTTGGACAGGACACACCCCCAGGGAGACATCTCTCTGGCACCTTTGTTCTTTTGGAGGTGGGCTTCCTGTCACATTCTTGTAATTATGAGACTTTTCTGGCTTGGCAGGCTGCCTGAAGGAGGGGGCATTCCAGGTGAGCCTGAAGGCCACTGGGGGACATGGAGGAGGTGGTGGTGGGGGAGGGGCAGGGAAGGGGTTACACATGCACATAGCTTCCCCTCCTCCCATGGTCTGTGTCCAGGCGATGCCCCCTGGGGGCTGCCACCTTCCTCCGTCTCTATCCCCAGCCCCCGCCTGTCTGTCCCACCAGCACAGGGCTGTGCCACGTTCTTCCTTAAATGTAAACCCATGTGGCCAGGCACTCAGGAAGACACCCCAGGGAAGTGTTCTGAGCCCCAGGGGCTCTCAGGACCCCCTCCCCCTCCAGCCCCCCCTCCCCCCGCCCACTCTGGCGGTCATTTCTCCAGGTCCAGGTCCCCCTAAGACCTGAGCTTCTTGTCCTCAGCTCTGACGCCTGCCCTCCTTGCTGGCCTCCCTTGCAGGTGACCCTGCTTCCCCAAGCTGGATCTCGTCCCTTCCCTCCACCTCCCCTGTGTCCCCTACAGCCGTCCAGTGCCCACCCTCTGTCACAACCCCATTCACTGTCTGGTTCGGCCCCTGGAGGACAGGGAGTGACGGGACAGAGGCAGGCCACTCCAGACTGGCAGGTGGCAGGGTTAGCCAGCAAGGGGTCCTGACACGGGGCTTGTTTGGGGCCTGAAGACAAACAGGTCTCTGTCCCCAGCTGCCAGATCATAGATCCTACAAAGGCCTCATGAGGCTCAGTCCTTTAGCCCCCCCACCCCACCCCCTGTCCAGCCTCAACGACACATTGCTCCCTCAGGCCTGCATCCCTGGGAGTGGCTCCCATGGTGGGAAGTGGGGGCTGTGTTGGGGGGAGCCAGAATGTTCATTCCCAGACCAGGGGAGGGGGTGAGGAGCCTCTGGTTGCCTGGGTCCGCCCATGGGCCCAGCTCCACGGGTGGGCAAGGACCTTCTGCATCCCACCATGGTCGCCATGCATCCGCCCAGAGCCAATGATGCCTCCAGGCCCTCAGTACACCCGCGCTGGGGTGCAGACGCGACTGGGGCCTCGGGGAGGTGGCGGAGGAAGAAGGGTATGGGGGTGGTCCCCCAGGTCTCACCTGGTACAACCCCCACTATGCCCCTTGGTGCCCCAGCCAGCCCTGACTCTCTCCCCCAGCTCTCTGTGGCACTGAGCCCGGAGTCCCCATGGCCTCGCTGAGCAGAGCCCTTCGTGTGGCCACCACCTGCTCTCGCCGGGCCCTGGGGCCACGTGCGCTGGCCAGCCGAGCCGGCCCCACCACTGAGAAGAGCGTGCCGTACCAGCGGACCCTGAAAGAGGCCCAGGGCCCCACGGCGGTGGCCCAGGGCCCAAGCCGCCCCCTGCCCAGCACAGCCAATGTGGTGGTCATCGGTGGGGGCAGCCTGGGCTGCCAGACCCTGTACCACCTGGCCAAGCTGGGTGTGAGCGGGGCGGTGCTGCTGGAGCGGGAGAGGCTGACCTCCGGGACCACCTGGCACACGGCAGGTAGGGGCTGGGGCAGGCGGGGCTGGGGCGGGGTGGTGGTGCCAGGGCAGGTCTGGGCCAGGAGGGACTGGACTCGGTGAGGGGACAGTTCTGGGGTGACAACTAGAGGCTTGTTAGACGCAGCTGCGCAGGAGGAGGAAGGACACAGAGAAATGATGCAGGGTCATCTGAAGGCACACAGATGGAGGGGCCCCCTTTGCTCCCCATGCCTCTGAAGAGCCATGGTGGGGAGGAGGGAGCCGAGCTGAGACTGGAGCCGGAGCCCGGGCAGCTGTCTGTTCCAGGAACAGAAAGCCGTCTCCAAACGGGGCCCCTGGGGGTGAGGGGCGTCCACAGGGGGGCATAGAGCATGGGTGGGGCAAGGAGCAGTGCCTTCCATGGGCAAGCATGCATGGTCCTCGTCCTCCTCACTAACCAGTGGGCATGTAGTAAGCACCTAATGTATGCAGATCGCCTGGGCAGCCAGCCTTCTGCCTGAGCCCTGGGCCTGGGTGAAGTGTGCAGTTTCGGCTGGAGGGGGCGCATTCCTGCCTTGGCTATTACTGCGCTACCAGCGTGAGGGCACTGAACGCGGAGCTGGGGAGAGGTTCAGGCATGCCACGGCCTGCACACCTCGGCTTCTGCCCTCCTGCTGTCCCGTCTCGGCTGGGCCGGCCGGCCTCTTCCCTCACTGTCACACCGGCCCCGGCTCTGGCTGCCCAATCCCCACTTTGCTGGTGGACGATGTGTGCGTGGGCTTCCATGGGTCCTGGCTTGGGGTCCTGGCCCCATCGTTACCTGCTCTATTGTCTTGGGCACAGGACTGTTGGGTGCCATCGAACTGCGCTCTAAAATCATCCTGCCTGCCCCTTGGGGCTGCCGTGTCATCCTGTGACAGGCTCAGCCCTGGGCTTGGCACACAGCGAGTACTCCATAAGTGGGACCCTGCTATTACCCCAGTGTGAGCTGCCCAGGGGCCAGAAGGGCCACCCCCAGATCAGCTTTGACCCTGGGAATTCCTGGCTTATCAGCCTCCCGGAGTACCCCATGGGCTGCAGAGAAAGACCCAGGCCCTCCGCCTGATCTCCAGGAGCCCCAGTGTGCCGGGCAGAAGGGGGAGGCCCCTCCCCGTGTTGGGGACTCACGGTGGCCCTTCCCCGCAAGGCCTGCTGTGGCAGCTGAGGCCCAGCGACGTGGAGGTGGAGCTTCTGGCCCACACGAGGCGCGTGGTGAGCCGTGACCTGGAGGAGGAGACGGGGCTGCACACGGGCTGGATCCAGAATGGGGGCCTGTTCGTAGCATCCAACCGGCAGCGTCTGGACGAGTACAAGAGGCTCATGTCGGTGGGTGTGCCCCCACCCGGGGTGCGGAGCTGCTGGTGGCTTGGGTGCTCCCCGTCCTGGGAGGCTGGGGCAGCAGGGCTGGGGGGAGGAGCTCTGACTGATCTGGGTTACTGTCACAGCCAGATGCCCTTGTTGCTGGGCCATCTGGGACAAGTGGCTGTGCTTCTGCCTTCTTGCCTATAAAATGGGACCATATTGTAGAGCTGGTGCCAGTGAGCCCCAGACCTGGGAGGGCCCAGCACCTGGAGCGGTTACCGCCACCAAACCCTGCTCATGGGAGACAAGATGCACGTGAAATCCTGCTCCCCTGGAGGCAGTGCCCACACTTCTCCTGCGCCCCGCCCCACTCCCAGGCCTGGGGAGGGCGGTTGTGCCGGTTGTGCGGGGGACTGACAGAGAGGCTCGTGCTGCGGACCCTTGGTTTGGGGTGGGGTGCTGTTGGCCAACCCAGAGCGGCCAGGCCTGGACGCCAAATCGCAGGACGTGGGTGCGGCAGGCTGCTCGAGCAGTCTGTCCTTTCTGGGGCGCCGACCGAATCTGTGCTCGGGGCCCAGCGAGCAGAACCAGCCGCGGGGCCGCAGGTGGGGGCAGGGGCCGCGGGCTTCACCCCGGGCAGGTCTGGGTCTCTGCGCCTAGGAGCCGGCCCCATTCTGCCGCCTCCTCCCTCAGCTCGGTGACCCGCCGGGACGGAGGCCTCTAAGGGAACCCCCCGGCCCCCAGCCCCAGCCCTGGAGACCAAGGTCCCCGCTGCCGAGAAGCCCCTGCCCCTTCTCAGGCTCGGTTCTCAGCCGGAGACTCTGACCCGCGCCGCGGGCTTCCAGCTGGGCGGAGCCCGTCCTGGTCGTGGCGCTTGGGACCACGCGATTGGCTGCCCTTGGGCCAGTCAGATGTGAGGGCGTGGCCTGTCCTGCTGACCCGGCCGGACCGGGGAGGAAGGGCTTGGTCTCCTGCAAGCTGGCCAGGCTGGAGGACCGTCCCCGTGCGGTCCCTGAGCGGTCCCCGAGCAGTCCCCGTGCGCGTGCTTCGTGTTCGCTTATAGAGGAGGCCCCTATGTGCCCGAGCCTGGTCGAAGCTCTTGCGGGGGGCCAGCCATCTGGTTAGCTCCCGCCAACCCCCAGGGGACTTGAAGTCATTGGGGTCTGCGTTGGGTGACCGTGGGACGGCCTGGAGCCTGGTGTGGGCCTCATGCTCCTCAGCCTCCCGCCACTCTAGTGCGGAGATGGCCCAAGGGACAGTGGCAGCTTTTGGGGGGACACAGGGTTGGAGCTGACTGTGGGAGGCGCAGGCGGGGAGGACAGTGGCCAGGGGTCTGCACCCTGAGGGCTGAGTCCCTTTGCTCTCGGGCCCTCTAGCTGGGCAAGGCCTATGGTGTGGAGTCACACGTGCTGAGTCCAGCAGAGACCAAGGCGCTGTATCCCCTGATGAACGTGGACGACCTGTACGGGACCCTGTACGTGCCCCAGGACGGAACCATGGACCCCGCGGGCACCTGCACCGCCCTCAGCAGGGCTGCTGCTGCTCAGGGGGCACAGGTACCGCTGGTCCCCGCCTACGTCCCCTGCTCCCAGCCTGGAGGACCCGGAGCTCTACTAGACCAGCATGTCCTCTGGGGACCTCTTCGGTGCTTTTCCTCGTTTATCCAGATATGCACATCATCGTAGAAAACATCAGAAAGGACAAGTTTGACGTTTCAGTTTTACACCTCCCAACTATTTTTTGGGAAGATGTATTTTTATAGGCAGAACCCAGACACACTGCTCCGTGGTCTGGAAGACTAGACTGCAAACGCCCATTAGCAAAGTCAGCCTTGCTTTTTAGACGTCACTTTATGAGAAAGACCTCGCATGTCTGGGGATGCGTCCTCCAAGTCGGGGAGCGCGGGGTTGGCTTCCGGTGCTGGGGTCACCCCGCTTCGGTGGTGTTGCAGGACGCGGGCCCAGCAGGCGCAGGGGTCCAGGTCCCGTATGGGTGGTGGGGAGCCAGTGATGTTGGGGGCAGTGGACACCCTCACCAAGCCCTGCTGGGCTCTGGAAGCAGCCCCTCTCACTGCCAGGTCATCGAGAACTGCCCAGTGAGTGGCATCCGCGTGCGGACGGACGACTTCGGGGTGCGCCGTGTGGCCGCTGTGGAGACAGCACACGGCTCCATCCAGACGCCCTGTGTGGTCAACTGCGCAGGTGGGCGGGGGTCTCTCCTGGCTCCCGGGCGGCCATGCTGGCTGCCTCCTAAGCCTGGCCCGCCTCCGGGTGGGCGCCTGGGGGGGACAGACAGGCCCGCAAAGGCTCCCCCTGCCCACGGGGCTGGCAGCCCTGCCTGGTGCTGCAGAGCTGACCCGTCCCTGTCCCGCCTGCAGGCGTGTGGGCCAGTGCCGTGGGGCGGATGGCTGGAGTCAAGGTCCCGCTGGTGGCCATGCACCACGCCTACGTCGTCACCGAGCGCATCGAGGGCATCCAGGTAGGTATGCTCGCAGGCGGCGTGACCCCTGTGAGTTCCCTCTCCACCCGAGCCTCAGTCACCTCATCTGTGAAATGGGCACCCTCACACTGGGTGTTTGGGGAGGGGTCAGAGGTAAGTGAGGGAACTTCCTGGTGCTGATTCGGGGCACGGCTCCTCACCAACTGCGTGTCCTGCGTGGTGCAGCCCGTCTGGGGTGTGGGCACATTCCGAGCTCCAGGTGCTGCTCCAGGGGACCCGCACGTGTTTGCACGCTCCCTGATGTGCCCTGGGTGCCGGTGTCAGAGGCGCCGATTTCAGACCCTCAGGTCCCCCCTGGGGGCTTGGAGAGGCCCTGCCAAGGGAGACAGAGGGCTCTGCACCCCTGCCCTCTCTCCTCTTCTCCCCTTCTCATCCCCCCCCCGCCACTGTCCCACTGTGGTGTGGGCTGATAGCGTCCTGTCACCTTGTCAATGATCACCTTGTCAGTGACTCCTCTTTTCCTCCCTCCTTCCCTCCATCTCTTCCTCCACCCCTCCCTCCTTCCATCTGTTTCTCTCTCATGCCTCCCTCCCTCCCTCTCTCTCATTCCATCCTTCCCTCCCTCCTTCTCTTCCTCCCTCCATCCCTCCTTCCTTTATTCCCCCCCTCCATTCCTCCCTCCCTCATCATCCATCCATTTGTGAACCATTAACCCACCATTCCATGTAACCCTCCTTCCTTCTTCCCTCCCACCAGCAAACACGGACTGCTGCGTCCCAGGCCCTATTCTAGAAACCAGGGCTGTAATAGAGAAAAGAACCCAGTTCTGGTCGGGGTTGAGCTGGGGGGCAGGTACAGACCAGTAAAGGAGCAATTCCCAAGCGGGCTGATGGGGCTCTGTGGAGGCCGGCGGGGGGCTCCGGAGACTCCAAGCCCAGGGAGCAGAGTGTGGAACCCAGCGGCCCAGGACCTGAAGGCAGTTCAGGGGGGCCGGGGGGTGGACGGGGACAGTGTGAGGTGGGACCCAGCAACGAGGGTCCTGGCCAGGATGAGCCTGGCTTCTGGCTCGTCACTAGGACCACACTGTTGAGGGGCTGGGGCATGTGCCGGGCTCCCCACGCACTCCTGCCCCTCTCCCTTGACACAGGGCTTCCCGGGTTCATGAACGAGTTAATGGGATGCAGCACAGACCTCAGGTGACCACCAGGGGTCGCCCTCAGGTCACAGTGGGCTCCGGAGGGCTGGGGACAGGCTGTGTCCTGTGGAGGGATACTTCTTGGGTGGCCACAGGGCTGTGGGTTCTAGGAAGCCCCAGTTCTGAGGGTCTGGCCCGCAGCTGGGTCCGAGCCGAGCACTGCCCCAGCTGCTCTGTGACCTGGTGCCCTCCCTCTCCGGGCCTGGCGTGTGTGTCCCCCGCAGTTGCAGTGCGTCCCATGCTCTCGGCTGGTTCTCATTCTGCTGGCCTGCGGCTGCTTTTGCAGACACTGCTGTACCCGGGCACCGGGTGATAGGAAAGCTCAGGCTCGGGGCTGCGTCCCAGCTCCTCCATTACCCAGCCAGGCCAGTCATAGTGTCGGTGGGCCTCAGTTTCCTTTTCTGCAAAATGGACAATAAGGGTACCGAGTGCACGGAGCTGAGGGAGGAGCCCATGTCGGAGAGGAAGGGCTGAGTGTGGCTCCTGGGCTGTAGCAGGTGCCCTCGGGTGGTAGCTGGGGTGAGGGTGACGATGGCCAGGACCACGAGGCACAGGGTTGTCCAGCTGGCGGGTGCCACAGAGGATGAGGTTAGGGAATGCTGGAGCTATCATCAGGCAGCCTTCCCAGAGGAAGCGGCCAGCAGGATTTGGAAGGAGTGGGGGAGAGGAGAACAATGAAAGGGAGCAGAGTGAGGTCGGGTGGAAGGGACACCAGTGGGACCGGGTCACAGCTGCAGGGGGGGCTTCTGCGTGGAGGTGACAGGACGCGTTGGGCACTCCAGGGCAGCTCAGTGTGTTGGGGCCCCAGGAGCTGGAAGGAAAGTCAGGGCTTCCCCGGCCACCAGGTGTCCCCACGGTCCTGCTCAACGGAACTCCAGTTTTTGTTTTGTTTTTAGAGTAGTAGTGACAACAGAGGTAATGATCTCACTGCTGCTGTTTCCGAAGCGTTCAGTTACCGAGAACTTCCTACGCGCTCCTTCCAACGACCCCTCATTGCAGACATTCTTATTCCAGTTCTACAGAGGAGCTGGACAGCTAGGACACTCGGGGGGGGGGGGCATCTGCCAAGTTATCCCTTTTGGTCTGTATGTCCTCAGAGATGGGACAGAGGAGTCACATCTGATGTGCCCGTCTCCAGGGTAAGTGGTCCAGGAGAGGACGCGGTTCCTTCGGTGCCGGAGAGCTACAGGGGATGTGCTCTTTCCCTACTTCTCAGTTTCTAAATTGATTCTGGTTTGCTTATTGGTTAAATGAAGTAGTCAGGGTTTGCGGTGTACTGACAGTGGAAATATTATTAACTCCTGAGAAATAGCACCCAGCGTCTGTTCCCTGGAGTTACTCATCGTTTTCCGGTTGCTCAGCTTCCTGTGTAAGTGTCGCTGCCTCCGTCTAGGTTTTCATCTGTCGACGTCACCTTCATCCCCCAAATCCCATATCCAGTATCTGTCACTCCCCTTTTCCCATCCTACCCCCAACCTTAGATAATCGCTAATCTGATTTCTGTCTCTGCAGATTTTCCTTATTCTGGACATTTAATACAATGAAATTGAACCATATATGGCCCTTGGGGTCTGACTTCTTTCACTCAGTCTGACATTTTCAGAGTTCATCCATGGGATACATCATCAGAATTTCATTCCTTCTAATGGCTAAATAATATTCTATTGTAGATCACATTTTATTTTTCCACTTATCTGTCACTGGACGTTCGAGTGGTTTCTGCTTTGAATAATGCTGCTATGAACATTTGTGTTCACATTTCTGTGTGGATGTGTTTCAGTATTTCTTAGGCAGATATCTTGGAGTGGAATCGCTGAATCATATAGTAATTATGTTTAACTGTTTGAGGACCTGCCAACCGTTTTCCAAAGCAGCTACGCTGTTTCACAT